GGGGGCGGGGGCAGAGAAAGTTGGACCTGGCCATGGTGTCTTCCAACCATTTATAGAAAGAAAGTGAAGGGTGGGTCGGTAGAAGGGGTTGGGCGTTTGATTGTTTAGATCGACACAGTAACGGTCATTTTGTGCTCGGGGAGGGGGGGGGTAATACACATAACCTATAAACAGAAACAACAGAGGGAAAGAAAAGAAATACGATCTACCCGTGGCGTGAGAACGATAGGTAGACAGAAACAACAGAATGAACGTTTAAGTTGGAGTTTGGGTTTGAGTAAAGAAAAGCACAATGACGGACATATAGAGTAGGGAAGAAGCAAGACAGATAGACAGACACAACAGAATGGAAGAAGAGAAGAGCAGGGCCTTCCAGTGCCATCCTCCAACCACCCATGACAAAAGGAAAGAAAAGGGATTAAAAAAACAGATGGGGAGAAGTAAACAGAGCAAAATATATTACAATAACATAATGACGATCATAAAAAGGTAGATCTACCACTTTCTTTTTACTTTTTAGAAAAGAGAAACACATTTCTCTCTCTCTCTCTCTCTCTCTCTCTCTCTCTCTCTCTCTCTCTCTCTCTCTCTCTCTCTCCTCCTCCCTCCCTCCCCTACAGTAGGCATGGGCCAGTGTGTCCAGTTTGCAGACAGGGTTCAGTGGTTTCTAATATCTTGCAAGCCAAAGTGGGAGATATTGGGTGAAATTAGTTGAAAAACCCAAGCTCTCAAAGATGAGTCGAAAACTAACAGTGTAGCAGACTGTTGTTTTAGGGCATTTTAGGAGATGAAATATTAGATCTGTTGCCTCCGACTGAGCTGGGAACTACTGATTTTGATTTTCCAAGTGAACAGTTTTGCTTCGATGAATTATCAGCTCACCATGGGGTACATTCATTATTAGTTACTGTGGGGTACATTCATTATTAGTTACTGTGGGGTACATTCATCATTAGTTACTGTGGGGTACATTCATCATTAGTTACTGTGAGGTACATTCATCATTAGTTACTGTGGGGTACATTCATTATTAGTTACTGTGGGGTACATTCATCATTAGTTACTGTGGGGTACATTCATCATTAGTTACTGTGAGGTACATTCATCATTAGTTACTGTGGGGTACATTCATTATTAGTTACTGTGGGGTACATTCATCATTAGTTACTGTGGGGTACATTCATTATTAGTGACTGGGTCAGCCTGAAACTACACACAGGCTGAATCTGGCCCTCAGGCTTTAGTTTGCCTAAGGGGGCTCTCGTGGCCTAGAGGTTAAGGTGTTGGCCTCTCATTCAAAGGTCCCGGGTTCGAATCCGGGTAGCGACCGAAAAATTTCTTCTCTAAAATTGTCTCCTTTCACCTCCTTTCCTGCTCTCTAGCAATGTTCTGTTGTCTGCTTTCATTTCCACTTTCTGCCCCCACCCCCTCACCTCCTTTGCCCCTCCTCTAGGCTCCTGACTCTTTCTGCAGCCTTTCTACTGCTACTCCTTGGCTCCTCCTTACTGCTGTCTTTCTGCCACGCCCCTGATCTTCTGGTAGGAAAGATCTACACCTAGCCTTCTCGAACAAGGGCGAAAAATCTCGGAGGGTCCATGTGCAAGTTGCGCACGTTAAAGATCCCTTGGTGGCCTAAAATTGATAAGAGTAGGCTTCGGCCGCCACCTGGGCAAAATTCAAAATTTCCTACCAACTGAAAATATTAGGTGTGTCCCGCGCGCTCATATGACCTATGCAGTTGCGAGCGCCGTAAAACACTTTACAAAAAGAAAAAAAAAAAAAAAAAAAAAGTTTGCCTAAGCCTGTCTTACAGCTCAGAGGGAAACTGCACTCAATAACTTTTGCAGTTTTTCTTGTGCTAGGCCTAAGGATATTGACTAAGGTCCGGTGTTTTGGATTACTATGAAGATTTGTAGATTCAAGCCGTTTGGATGTTTTGCTCATTTAGATGTACTAAGCTTTTACATTTTGGAAAATTCGGCACCTAAAAGAGGCACTACTCACTGCTTCCCTGGTCTCTCTTTGTCACATGTACTCATGGCATTACACAACTGTCTTCTGGTTGCAACGCTCTTAGTCCTTTCTGATTTTTGCCTCTGAGTACCTCCCCAGGGCAGTGCTACGGACTAAAGTTGTCTTTAAGCCATTCCCAAAGGGGGGATATTAACATGTTCTTATGCACAGTAGAATTGTAAATGGTCTGATTTATCAATGTCATGCTCCTGTACCAGAACAACAAAGGGGGAACTGCTGCTTTTTCTTTCCTCATCCTCACTATTGTCATTTTTCCTCTACTTCTTTTGTATGTTTGTTACTCTCTTGTGAACTGCTATTTCCAGGGTGCCTTGATCGTCGAAGCAGACTTTGTGCTGTTTAGGCTAGAGTGGTGAGCAGAGTAGGTTGGGATTCCCCGTTTGGACTTCTCTGTTGACATCCACCCCTTGGCGCTCATATGACCTTAAGCAGTTGACATCCACCCCTTGGTGCTCATATGACCTTAAGCAGTTGCAAGCGCTGCAAAAACCTTGCTAAAATAATAATGCCTTTGAGTGAGAATATGCATTAATTGTTGTTACTGGTCTCTTTATTAAACTCGGGATTTGAATTAAAAGAAAGTTTTGTGCTCATCTCCCCTTTCTGTGAAAAATGTTGTCTTTGTGTTGGTTTTTTCATTTCCACAATTTTGTGGGAGTGGTCTTCTTCTTCAAATCACCCAAGAATCGCTTCTTAATTAACCAGCCACCATTCAAAAGTGTGGTGGAGTGTAGAGCTCTTCAACTGACTGACTGTGTCAATAATTTCCGCAGGCCTCATCGGCAGCTGCACCAACAGCAGCTACGAAGACATGGGCCGCTCGGCCAGCATCGCCAAACAGGCTCTGGAACACGGGGTCAAGGCCAAGGCCGCCTTCACCATCACGCCAGGCTCGGAGCAGATCAGGGCCACCATTGAGAGAGACGGCATGGTACGTACTGTCGATCTGCCAAGTACTCTGATAAAATCGGAGCTCTCCACTTTTTTGGGTTTTTAAAAATCATGATAGAATCCTGGTCGGATTTTCATAAAGCTATTTTTTTCTTGAATTCTGTTTCCATTGGTCGTGTTCAACTTATTGTGAATGACGTGAAAATACAAGGGTTTATTTATATGCGGGGGATGTCTTTAAAGTAATTTATGAACACTCGCAAGTTGATGGTGTTATGCTGTTAGTAGAAGAAATATATTTATTCTTTGACTGTTTTTAAATTTTTAAATCATGGCAGAGGTTGATTTGCAGGTCTTTAATTAAAATCAGAAGTCGGCAAGCTCTCTAGGTAACATAAAAGTTCCCAAGGCTTACTTTGTGTGTCATCTCCCATCATTTATATAGAAGAGTTTTTTATTTTAAAAAAAATATTTTTCTTCCTGCGGAACATTTTTTTCAAGAAACCAGTGCGTGTCTGTTACTCTCTTGTAACACCTCTAATCTTCGGCACTGATATGGCTTAAGTGTGCTTCAAATGCCGCAAAACTCTTACTATAACTAAAAACTTTCTATTTGTGTAGGCCTCTACCTTGAGAGATATCGGTGGAGTGGTGCTGGCCAACGCGTGCGGCCCCTGCATCGGGCAGTGGGACCGACAGGATGTGAAGAAAGGGGTGAAGAACACCATCGTGTCCTCCTACAACCGCAACTTCACAGGCCGCAACGACGCCAACCCGGCCACACACGCCTTCGTCACCTCCCCTGAGCTGGTCACGGCTCTGGCTATCGCTGGCGATCTGTCGTTTAATCCTTTGACCGATGAGCTGACAGGGGCAAACGGTGAGTCTGAAGGGTGGGAGCAAATGCAGTGGAGTCGGCTTAAACCATAATGGGTAGGACCGCTGGACTTACCGAAATATAACATGGGGGACTGCCAGATTTTATTTAGTTAAGTCGTGTTTTTGGTTTTGAGGTTGCTCAAACAGACGAAGGAGAAAAAAAAAATTGAGGCTTTTATTTTCTTTTGGATTAGCTAACCGAGTTCCTCTGTAATTTGATTGCTTTGATGAGTTTCATTTATTCATTTCTTATTTTATCCTTTCCCCCGGGACGGTGCTTCTGACTGAAGTGTCTTTAGGCCATTCCCAAAGGGGGGAACATTAACCTGTTCTTATAGTATACACAGTAGAATTGTATATGGGCTGATTCATCGAACAGCAACAGGGAACTGCTGCTTTTTCTTTCATAATACTTACGATCGTCACTTTCCTCTACTTCTTTTTTATGTGGCACACCCTTGTGACCTGCTATTTCCGGGGTGCCTTGATAGTCGAAGCAGACTTTGTGCTGTTGAAGCTAGAGAGTAAGTCTTATACCCTGTAAGGACTTCTCTGTTGACATCCACCCCTTGGCGCTCGTATGACTTTATGCAGTTGCAAGCGCTGTAAAACCCTCTACTAAAACAAGCAAACAGTTAATCTATCCTGCCACTTAATTCTTATACATCTGTTGATAAAGCTCTTACTAAACAACAAAACGTTTCAGTGGGTGGTTGGCGGGTGCTCTGGTGTGGTTTGCTTCTTCTTTCCTATCAAACATCTATCGTCCTTATCTTCCCTCCTTCTTTTTTATGTTACTCTCTTATAACACCTCTAATCTTCTGGCGCTCATATGACCTTATGCAGTTGCGAGCGCCGTAAAACCTCTACTAAAACAAAACGTTTCACCTGCAGGCGAGAAGTTCAAGCTGGACAGTCCGTACGGCGACGAGCTGCCCCAGGCTGGCTTTGATCCCGGCCAGGACACCTACCAGGCGCCCCCGGCCGACAGCAGCTCCGTGCAGGTCCAGGTGGCCCCCGACAGCAACAGGCTGCAGCTGTTGTCTCCCTTTGACAAATGGAACGGCAAAGATCTGGAGGACTTGTTGGTTCTCATTAAGGTACGTTCTTTATCTGCACATTTGTTGTTGCTGTTTGTTTGTTTTGTTTCCTGACACAGAGTTTGAAATTGAGTGAAAACTTTGAGCTTGGATATATCTGATAGAAGCAAGAGTAATTGAGATACAGCCTTGTTCTTCTGGGGTCGCGAAATTGTGGCACAAAAAGAGTTTAATAGGATGTGATGACGATATCTTTCTGTTGGGGTCGCGACATTGTGGCACAAAAAGAGTTTAACAGGATGTGATGACAATATCTTTCTGTTTGTAGAACACAAGTTCTTGTTTTAGAAATGCAATGGCAACACGTGGATGTCTGGTAAAATTTCTCCCTCTTGTGACCGTGAGTGAGTTTTTACGAGACCTACGTTGTGCAGTGTTTTACGTACCCGCTGTACAGTGTTTTAGGTACCCACTGTACAGTGTTTTAGGTACCCACTGTACAGTGTTTTAGGTACCCACTGTGTACAGTGTTTTAGGTACCCGCTGTACAGTGTTTTAGGTACCCACTGTGTACCCGCTGTACAGTGTTTTAGGTACCCGCTGTACAGTGTTTTAGGTACCCACTGTACAGTGTTTTAGGTACCCACTGTGTACCCACTGTACAGTGTTTTAGGTACCCGCTCTACAGTGTTTTAGGTACCCGCTGTGTACCCGCTGTACAGTGTTTTAGGTACCCGCTGTACAGTGTTTTAGGTACCCGCGTTATTGTTGCTAGGCTCACCACTTGACAATTTTAAAAAATAGAAATTTTATGCATATATGCATTAAATAATGTTCTACTTAAACACCTTTTAAGTAATTTTACCATGTGATGTCCCTTCGACTGTGAAGCGCATTGAGCATATTTTAGAATATGGAAATGTGCAACATAAATATCATCATCAGTGTTATAATTATGATGATTTTTATTATTATTGTTATTATTGTTATTATATTTCTCTGTAGGTGAAAGGCAAGTGCACCACCGACCACATCAGCGCTGCTGGCCAGTGGCTCAAGTTCAGAGGTCATTTGGACAACATCTCCAATAACTTGCTCATCGGGTGAGTGTTCTGTCTTCTCTAGGCTTTGCTTTGTCCCAAGTGTTGTTGTTACGAACGTGGATATTTTATGGTGCGAGAGACACAGATTTTGAGAATGTGCTTTTTGGGGATGTTGTGGGTAGTTGGCAGGTGCTCTAGTGTGGTCTGCTCTTTCTTTCCTATCAAACATCTGTTGTCCTTTTCTGTCTTATTTTTATTTTTTATTTTTTTCTCTCTCTAGTAACACCCATAATCTTTGGCACATATATGTGTCCTATTTTTGTGTTGCAACTCGATTGCTGTAAAACTCTTACTAAATACCAAACTAAAGGGGGATGCTGAGAGTGTATGCTCGAAGGAGATGTTGAGAATATTTTGTACCTTTTTGATTAGACTACCTTTGTATTCTTTTATTTTATTGTGGGAATTTTGGATTAGAGTGCTGTTTGGTGACTGATTATATGGCTCTTTTCGTCTATGCAGACGGTCAATTTAGCTTAGCTTAAGATGGTCTCAAGGTTGTCTTCATGCAGCTTCTTTCATGGCTAATTCTTCCTATGTTTAAAGTGCAGATTCTGTCGCAGTGCTTGCATGTCAGTGTCGTAGATCGAAGTTCTGTATTTCTGCTGTTTTCCTTTTGTCGTTGGCGCTTCTCAGCCTGGTTGTTTCTAAAGCTGCTCTCTAGCATTATAGTTCTTTCCTTTATCATTTTCCTCCATGTTTTCCTGTCTTCAGCTATTTCTTCCCAGATGCTGACATCTACTCCAAGCTTAGATAAGCTGTTTTTGCAGGTGTCTTTGTACCTCAATTTTGGTCTTCCTCTTGGTCTCTTTCCCTGGGCAAGTTCTCCATAGAGAAGTTGCTTCGAAATCCGGTTGTTGTCCATTCTCTTGAATCTTTTTAAACACATGATAGTTGTCATGCTCTGGAGGTTTGCGCGTGCCAACACTTCAACATTTGTAACCTTGTCATGCCACGAAATGCCTAAGATCTTGCGGCAGCATCTGAGATGGAAAATGTCGAGGTGCTTTTCTTGTCTGCTGTACAAGCTCCATGTTTCAGATCCATAAAGGAGTGTGCTAAGGACACATGCTTTGTAAATTCTGTTCTTTTCGTAAATTTTGATCTTTCATTTTTATTGTATTACTTTCTATTATATTCTGTATCTGCTCTGGCATCCTAATGTTCTTCTCGATTCTATTTTTTCCCCCCATGCTAAAGAACAATTTCGTGTACGTGTAGACATGTTCACTGAAGTATGAAGAGTTCATTTGTCATGTTCACTGAAGTATGAAGAATTCATTTGTATGTTTTTCTCGCTCGTGCAGTGCTGTGAACATTGAGAACGATGAAATGAACAAGGTGACCAACCAGCTGAACGGAGAGTCCGGTGGTGTTCCTGACACAGCCAGATATTACAAGGTGAGGGTCACCTCGTGTGCTGAGATGGTGCTGGTTCTTTGCATGGCTTTGTTTTAGCGGTTTGTCGTTTCAGAGAGTATTATGGTTTATAGACACCTGACAGCAGTTTGTTGTGTCGGAGAGTATTACGGTTTATAGACACCTGACAGCAGTTTGTCGTGTCAGAGAGTATTGCGGTTCATAGACACCTGACAGCAGTTTGTCATGTCGGAGAGTATTACGGTTTATAGACACCTGACCCCGGAACTTCCCCCTATGTGTCCCTTGTGTGACTATGCATATGAGACTGTGGATCATCACCTGTTCCACTGCACAGCCCTAAATGACATCAGAGCTACCCTTCTCCCTCCGAGACCTAACATTGACAACACACTATATGGAACTTTACAGCAACTGCAGCAAACCTGCACTTATCACTACATGGCATTGGACAGAAGGGCGAGAGCCCAGCTGTTGCTGGATCGATAACAACAACAACAACAACATAGACATCTGACAGCAGTTTGTCAAGTTTGAAGAGTATTACTGTTTATTGACACCTGATAGCAGTTTGTCGTGTCGGAGAGTATTACCATTTATAGACACCTGATAGCAGTTTGTCGTGTCGGAGAGTGTTACGGTTTATAGACACCTGATAGCAGTTTGTCATGTCGGAGAGTATTACGGTTTATAGACACCTGACAGCAGTTTTTCGAGTTTGAAGATTTTATTATGGTGTGTAGACTCCTGACAGCAGTTTGTCAAGTTTGAAGATTTTATTATGGTGTGTAGACTCCTGACTTGTTTCCCCCCAATGCATTTCTTCAACACAATCCTCTGCCAATAGTTTTTGTATGTGGGAATATTATTATTCCTGTTTTTGGAGAGGTGGGGGGGGGGGAGAGATTGATGGATGAGATGAGCTGTTCTCAGATCCTGCATAAAGGCTTCTCAGTACCCTATGGTCGACTGCTTGGAACATTTTTACACCTAAAAGTGACGGATAGTCCTGAAAAGATGGAACATAGATGGAGAAAAAAATGGGTCTCATGGGGGGTGGGGGGGCTACATTCATGTGTCCACAAGATGCTTCAGTGGGACGTATCTTTTGAAATGTGGTTCATTCATTGAAGGTTTTATAATTCTTTTAGCTGTTATTATAGTTCTTGTGGGTGGTTGGCGGGTGCTCTGGTGTGGTTTGCTCCTTCTTTCCTATAAAACATCTATCGTCCTTATCTCCCCTCCTCCTTTCTTGTAACACATCTATTCTTCGGCACTCATATGACCTTATTGTGCTGTAAAACTCATACTAAAACGAAACGATTATAGTTCTTGAGACTACATACTAGATCTATACTCTGTGTAATGTGATAGTAAAATTCATTGTGTACGTTTTTATTGTATCGTGCAGGCACAAGGCAAGGGCTGGGTTGTGGTCGGAGATGAGAACTACGGCGAAGGCAGCAGTCGCGAGCACGCCGCTCTCGAGCCCAGACATTTGGGCGGCCGCGCCATCATCGTCAAGAGCTTTGCCAGAATTCATGGTAAGCGTCGGAACAATTGTGCGTTGGTTTAGGCTGTCGAGTGAGTAAGTTACTTAGAGGCCAGTATTTATGGGAGAAAGTCATGTGTTTTGTGTTTGAGATATCTGATGTTTTATGGGGGG